TGGAGGAAGGATTTTCTGAGGTCTTGCGACAATCCAATGAGATAACAAGGAAAGGCTAGGAAGAAGGTTTGAAAACAATTGGAGTCAAGCTAAAATAATGTTGATCCATGAGTTATGTAGTGTAACTACATCAATGAATAAAGAGTATATACTTGTACATCAGTGGTGGGTTCCGGATCCCAGTGCAACCGGTACAGTGCAATGGGGCCATGCATCCACCACATGCATGTGCACAGCATGCGGATGGTGCACGCATGCATACTTACCGCCCGCAATGCTCCGTGATGCTCCAGCTGCTTGGTGGACCATCATGCAGGCACCATAAGCTCCATGTATGTGTGCGAAAGCCCTGATCGGCTCACTTACAGGTAAGGAGGGCGGGCAGGCAAGTGGGCCCTCTGAAATAGTACCTGGCGCTTCCAGCAGCACCGGTATGCCAGTAGCGGGGAGTACCAGTCGTATACCACCACTGTTGTACATCCATGAAGTTTAGGTATATTAGTGATGTAAAGTAGCCTTTTGGGTTATGATACACAACTGGAATTCAGGTGCTCTCTCAAAATGGATGCTATAGTGATGGACTTTTTTTTGTTCAGAGAAGGTGGACATAATTCTAAACTAAACACTGGAAAAAGTCATCCATGATATTTATCTTCTATTAATTCCTGTATAAGTACTAAGACCATAAGACAGGCTGAGTGCCAAAGAATTGAGGCCTTCAAACTATGGTGCTGGAGAAGACTCCTGCGAGTCCCTTGGACTTCATGCATGATCAAATCTGTGAGTCCTAGAGGAGATGAAACTTGACTGCTCTTTAGAAGGCCAGATCCTGAGGATGAAACTCAAATACTTTGTCCTAACGAGAAGGAAGGACTCACTGGAGAAGAGCCTAATGCTGGAAAAGATTGAGGGCAAAAGAAGACGGGGACGACAGAGAATGTGGTGCCTGGATGGAGTCACTGAAGCAGTAGGCATGAGCTTAAATGGAGTCCAGAGTCCAGAGGATGATAGAGGACAGGAAGGCCTGGAGGAACATTGTCCATTGGGTCACGATTGGTTGGACATGACTTTGCAACTAACAATAACAAATAATAATAATAATTCCTATGGTGTAGAGAGATATTCTTCAAATAAAAATAAATAGATGTGATTATTTTACTAAAAGAAATGAAAAAGAAAAATAACTTCAGGTGGAATGGGAAATTTAGCAGGCTCCATGAATACTACAATAACTAGTTTGCACAAGTGTTTAAAATGAAATTGGAATGACAGTTTCAAAATCTACAATTTTCTCCAGCCTTTAGAATATCAGGAACTGTTATTGCTGGTGACACTGGATACATCATCCTTAAGTTTTGGATATACCTGCTTATCAGTGGTGAGTTGCTGTGGATACCCCCCAGTACAGGCATACCGGTGCCTGTTGGGAGCAATAGGTACAATTCCGGTAGGGTGCTCTGGAGGGCCCACTGGCCCGTCCGCTTTCCTTACCTGTATTTGACCCAACCAGGCCATTCGCGCATGTGCAAGGAGCGTACGCTGCCTCCGTGATGCTCCGCAGAGCAGCTGGAGGGTTGGGGGCAGTGGGTACACATGTGCGTGCTGCGCCTGTGCATGTGGTGGACTCCCGGTCCCATTGCAGTGTACCGGTTGCAATGGGGTCCAGAACCCACCACTGCTGACTGTACAGAAATACCATTTTGTTCTTCAATGTACAAGATTTCTGATTATTATCAAGCCTTTAATGTTATGGGTTCCATTTTGATCCTAACTTTTCCAAGCCCAAATAAAAAAATTGAAGTTCATGCATTAGCAGATAATCAGATAATAAATATTAGCTGAATATTTTTTTTTAAGAAATGGCACCAAAGGATGTGTCAATGGTTTAATTTCACAGTGAATGGAATATTCAACTGCAGTGTAAATTCCAACAGTTCACTTTCTGTAATAAAGATATTTCATGATTAGCACGGAATACAGGTAAAATCATAGATAATAATATAATTGACCATTAAATCAGAGAAAAACCAGATGGAAAGATAGAATAGCCAATCTAAAAGTGCACTCATGGGAATTAAATCATGGGGAACAATATTTCATTCTGGTAAAAAAAAATAAGGTAATCAGATATTTTGACAAGGGCCCATAGATCAGAGGGGTGGCTTCAGGCCAGATCAGATAACACTGGGAGAGCTGCCAATGCAAACTGCAGATAATCAAAAACTATGATGACTATAATTGTCTATTAAAGAAATGAATTAGTGAATATAATAATATGTGTAACTAATTACTAAATGCAAATTTATCAGTATAGCTTAGATTTTTTAAGTGAATATTCTTTAAAAGAAACACATAGTATTTTTATCCTTTATGGAAATCTGTGAAGATTTTCCTTACATCTGTATACAAGGTGTTAGATTGTATTCACAATCAAATGAATATTTCCAGCAGTCTTTACATGGGACTATGGTTGCTCTTGTTTAATGTATCCTCTCATAATTACTACTTATGCTGCTCAAAAAAAGGGGGAAAGCCAATTAACAATTAACTTACAGTTAATTAAAAGGGATGGGGTGGCTCAGTGACTGAGACACTGAGCTTGTCAATCAGAAGATTGAATCAGTGGTTCGAATCCCTAACACCGCATAAGGAAGTGAGTTCCCGTTACTTGTCCCAGCTTCTGCCAACCTAGCAGTTTGAAAGCAGGTAAAAATGCAAGTAGAAAAATAGGGACCATTTTGGTGGGAATGTAACAGCATTCCGTGTGCCTTTGGCACTTAGTCATACTGGCCAAATGACCACAGAGATGTTTTTGGACAGCTCTGGCTCTTCAGCTTTGAAACGGAGATGAGCACCGCCCCTTGAGTCAGGAAAGACTAGCATATATGTGCAACGGGAACCTTTACCTTTACCTTCCATATATAAGTCTGACTGCAGCACTGTTTAAATAGTCCAGTTGTACTCTGTGCTTCAGAACTTCAAAAACAATTTGGGAAAATTTGTTTAGGGCATGTAGAAGCACAGATGTAGCATCTGTATGTTCAAAATCAGCCATTTTTTCCTGGAACCACATGGCTGCCCTTTGAAGTTCCCATATGATTCCAGAACATCCAATCCACCTTTTCAAATTCAAATACGGCTATTGTGCTAAGTAGTGGACTTGTCTTTGGAAGATTGAACCATGCCAAATGTTGAATGAGAGCAAAATAGATTGCTTAAATTCCCACTCAAGC